CAAAAGCAAATGCCTCATCTTGAATTCAACTATATAAATTTCTCTTCCGAGAGCTGGCCAGAGCTTTTTCCACAAGCATTTCAGGTAAATTTGGTTATCCTTTTAGGGGGAAAAAAATCTTCTTTTGACTCTGCAAACATTCATTTTAATAGCCATCATTTACAGGTACTTATTTCAGGGTTAACACACACAGTAAAAGTTGCCACATGTAGATATCTCCAGATTAAGTAAGCACACACCGGAAAGTAACATTGTAAGCCGAGGCATAGGGAATGATATCGATCAACTTGAGAAGAAAGAAACTTTGAATAATAATAGGCAAGCAGGAAATGAAATAACGGGTTATATCCAAAATAAATGGCAATTTAAATTCAGTTCAAAAAGGAAGCATTCCATCTTTGTAAATCCATCATTTCAGAATTAGGATACGTTTCATGACTACTATAGCACAGTACAGCAGCATACACAATTAAAAGGGATATATCAACGTATAGAAACCCTAGCGGCCAGATCAATCGGCAAATATCTGTCAAGGGGGATATCTGCAGCTTATTTGAAGACAATTGGTGGAACAAGAATAGAATTTCAAGTAAAGCGTGTACATGTATGCCATGTGGTAATGTTCACATACATGAACACGCTAAGAGATATAAACATCGATAATCCAAACACATGCAAATATAATTCCAGCACAGATGGTGGACATACACAGTCTAAATTCTTTGACGTTTGTGTGTTGCAATAACAATGACACAATGTGTACAATGACGCTGTAACAATCTCATGGCCAGTTTTTATTTCATTCTTATAATATTATTCCAGCTTGACTACAGGGAAATACAGTTGTAAGGAGACAGACATCGGTGATGGTAACATTACCTACAACCTCGCTACAACTGAACCGAGCATGGATAAAGGGTCAAAGGTCAAGTATTAATATATTGAAATTATTAAGACCTATCAAAAGGCAGTTACTTAATATATTAAACAAATCAAGTACAATAGGAAGTCTTCTTACTAAAAATGACTTCTATTTGTAATGTAAATTCAAGCTGGTATAGTATTGTTAGCAATACATAGGGTCATTGATAAGGAGTCTCATTCACTTCCATCAGGGTAGTAAACAGTGTAGGTGACAATACTACGTCATCAACTCATGATTAAACAAATTATCACCTTATCAGCATTCGTGTGAAATGTATATTTTCAGCTCACATGTTGTTACCTAATCCGTAATTTCGCTAATTCAAGATGTCGTTAATTTAAAATACTCCCAATGAGGTTCTGTTAATTCATGCATTGAGTAAAATTTGCTAATATGGCATCTATTGGGGTAGCTGATATTGTGGCAGTCATACAAACTTGAACTTGAATTTGAAATATGATCCATGTTACACAAAACATTATTCTTGCTTTTGAATAAGCACAGACTGAAGCATTTGTGAGAAATGATGTAAATGGTTGGTGTAGAAAAGGTGAAACTACAACTCTACTTACTACTTGTGTCCTTCTTCATACTACTTGGTGTTGTGGCCCAATTTACTTTGACTTCCTGCAAGAACAGAGAGAAAACAAAAAATTTAATTTTTAGCCAAAGTTCACATTCATCATCATTAACAAATTTTAAATCCACACAATGTTTTCATAATTTTCCCAAGATTTTGGTCTAGACTTGCAACCAATAAGTCCAAATTTTTTTTAAAAACAAAAAAAAATACATTGAAAAATGGCAAAATGTTGTACCAAAACTTGGCATGGAAAAATTATGTCGCTTAATTTCAGCACACCAGTACTGTGGAATACTCGTGACAGTAAAGCTTAGTTGTTTTGATGCAATTAGTGAATGATGGGTAGTGCTGTCACTAGTCTGTCGTTTCTCTCCATCGGAAACAGGAAAGGTTTTTTTTTTGCTTTCCGGCGATGCAAATATAATAAGGAATTATTATCATATCAGTGAGAGAGAGAGAGAGAGAAAACGAAGCTAGCTGCAAGGCAGAAACAGAAATAAATTACGTTGCCTATATAAAAACTGATCTATTTCTAGTACATCTTCATTATGCTATCATCAGTGTTACCAACCTTTGGCAGGTAACACTGCCAACAGCACAACAAAAGGATGCATGTAAAAGATAAAATATCACAGCTCGCAGAAAGCCAATATGACTTGCCTCTGTCGAAAGTGAATGTTATTTCCTATATAGCAGCACTGATAGATGAAATTTTAAAACCAATCTTCTTCACACAGAAATGTTTACTGCCTGTGGAGTATTAAACCACTATTTGTAAAATGAACACTACTATACTAATGACCTGATCACCTGTTTTACCCACAATGCAGCTGAATGTTAATAAACCCCCTAGTATGGCATAAATAATCATACACTAAGGGAGTGTGGCTGCAAGTGAGAATAAAATTTACACCCAGTGTTTCATTAAATTGTTCCTTCTATTGCTTCAATTATTCAAGGCCCCTCAGTGCATTTACAATTTTTACAATGCAATTTAAAGTGTATATTCTATGGGTTAGCCAGTGGACGGCCAACAAAATCTGACAAGAGCATGTTAGTAGCAAGGTTATTGCACTAATGCTGATATACAACGCAATATAGTGCGTTTGGTACTCCTTCCCCAATCATCTGAGTGTGTACAGACTGCCGTTAATATCCAATTTTCTAATACGAGTTGACAAGGTGACTTTTCCTACAAGTAAATTTCCGTGTTAACTGTACTGTAGAATTCGCAATCACATTCAATTGATGAAACTGTCACGGAAAAATACAAATTGTTTACAAGAATACGCGCAACCTAGATTAGATTGCATTCACAGCTCATTCAAGACCACCACCACCACCCTGCCTGCCCGTCTGGCCTCCACCCCTCCCGATCCAGGCAAACTCATTTTTTTTTATTTCAATTTGAAGGACATAGCCTTGAGTATTCAGTCAACCAAGCTCATATTGCAGGCATTTCCCATTCATTAAAAGATGCATGTCTTCACAATGTAGCATTGTTGCAATTGTCTGATAATATTAATATTAAAAGTCACCGCAGAGATAACGGCAACCATTTATGATGTTGAAATAATGAAGACATGATTATACATCAACGCTAATAGCAAGTTTAATTTGAAGACAATGGGGCTGACAATATTAAAATCGTGTTCCCTGTAGAGTTCATCATAAAAGTTAATATTCAAATGCATTATGCTTTTAAAAAGCATCAGTTATTTTATTAAATATTCTTTACGGCACGTTTCTTTATCCAGTTTTACCTTCAACATACTTTTTTTTTTTTAAATGACAAGTTCACATACAGGTTTTCTCAGATAATTTTCTCTCAAAGTTAATCAGAAATCATAGTAATGTAAAGTACTTTGAACCATTTGTTTTTTAATCTGTTACTTGTACTTTATAACAAATCATGAAAATCAGCATCACAACATTTTCAACAAACCAATAAATTAAATTTTTAAACATTTTATTTCGATAAATTGCAGAAAATATGGTAACAAACAAGCAATGTGTACTGGTGTGACAAAAAGACATCTTATGATGTTTGTAGTCCCCAATATTCAGTTGCAATTGTGACAATGTGTTAACACTTACAATATTTTATTGCTGGCAAACACCCTAAATAAGCCAACTAATATTCATCATAATTCAATATTTCTATTTTCTCAAGATAACGTCATTTACAATAATTATATTTCACAACTGTAATCAGATGATAGTTTAGTCAGATAACCATGGTAACAGACAGGGAATCTTAAATGTATAAATACTGCAATGCTTAAAACAGTCTAGTCCTTCAAATCACACACACGCAAATTGCAAATTTTCACAAATTGCACGAGCTGGGCGAAAACATGAGGAAATTTTGTTATGAACATTTCACTGACTTTCATAAGGTTTCTTCCATGCAAAATAACATTTCCAGTAATAATTTAGCCGTTTACTGAACCTCACTGAACCAACATCTCAGTACTACAGCTAACAAAATCCACAAAAACTTTCATTTGAACAGCAGAACAGAGATCATTTCCAAAAATTTAGTTCAAGAAAAAAAAGTAGACGTGACAAGGCAATAACATTTGCTTCAAATCGTTCAGAGCAAATTATGATGAGCTCAATAAAACGAATTGAATTTATGAGTTTCCTGAGAAATACGATAAATATACTGAAATGGATTATATACTATCAGATAAGACACGTAATCCAATGTAAAAACTGAATAAACATTGTTGCTAGGAATCTCACCATACACTTCAAATATTGCCATCAAGAACAAAATAATACAAGATAAACAAGCATAAAATAATCTTAGAAATATGACGTGAATAAGTTGATAACTCATACGAGACACACCGATGAAATGCAATTAGGACATTATTAATCATCAATCAATACAATCAGAAATCAAATTGCAAGGCTTTATTTTAATGCTGTAGAAATGTTATTGATCCACGGAATATCACTACACTGAGCTTTTGAAACGATGAGAGAATACACGTCATTAATTGCATAAATAGGCAGGTGGAATTCGTCTTTTTATCTCTACAAGGCTTTCATAAAATGATCTCCACTCTCAGAAAGCAATAAATTAAGTGTCGCAAAAATAAACAGTGATCATAAAATCTTCATACAACTGGAGAATAATCAACTCTAGTTTTATGAAATTCTACACGATCCCTCCTAATTTAGTAATGTGCTGTTATAATTAGTTATTATTCAAAGTAGTGAGGTAGAACTAATAATATCCTCAATATGTGTTCTCCCTATTTGCTTTATTACAAGCACATCAATAACAAATACAAAATTGTATTCACTTAATGCAAGATCCTCAATAGACAACTTACTTTGAGATTTACAAAAATTCTATCATTTATCCAAAAACAACTAATACAGTAAATACGTTATTTGACCATAAAATAATTGAACAATGAAAGACGTAGATTATAAGGCAATGTTAGGGGAGTATCGGTATTTAGCACGATAAACCCTGAGTAAAGATAAGATTTCTTGAGAAACAGTTATAGACATATGGAAATATAACCAACATGGCCACCAGTCAGCCATTTTGAATCAAACAAAAGTTGTTCAAAAATTCAAGTTTGAATCAGATAATGAAACAAATTAAGTGCATTAGTAACCCAACATGCATGATGTCATGAAGAGTAACCCAACATGCATGATGTCATGAAGAGTAACCCAACATGCATGATGTCATGAAGAGATAGTCCAGACATGCCTTAGAAATGATTGATATGTTGAAATGGTTTGTTTTGGGACTAAAATGACCATGAGTTGGTCTAAATTCAACCAAATAAAAATCTACTGGAGATATCTGCCATCATGACTTGCCTTTGTAAGCAACATTCAACAAAACTTGTCTAGACAAGTCTGAGAAATGGTGTAGCATGGACACACACAACCTAAAACATTCCAACCCTGTTTCAACTGATATCTATGGCCTCTACGTGTCTATATTATTTCAAGAATTGTTTTTCAGATTTGTTAAATTGATAAATATTGGAACAGAAAAACTGGAGAGAAAAAATGTGATGACCACTTAATGGAAAACAGGCATTCTGTTAGATAGCAATTGTACCAACTAAGAGGCAATGGAAAGCTAAAATTTGTAATCCCAGTTGAGAAGAAGGGGATTATGATGCATGTCTGCGCTCTAATTCAGTGTTTGTGAGAAGATTATCATCACAGAACCAGAAAAACAGATTAAGGGACAATAATATTGGCCATGTAGAGATGAGTCGTCTATCCTTCTATTAGTATGGGATCTGCTGCCAGACAGACAATGAAACCGTGTCTCTTCTATTAGTATGGGATCTGCTGCCAGACAGACAATGAAACCGTGTCTCTTCTATTAGTATGGGATCTGCTGCCAGACAGACAATGAAACCGTGTCTCTTCTATTAGTATGGGATCTGCTGCCAGACAGACAATGAAACCGTGTCTCTTCTATTAGTATGGGATCTGCTGCCAGACAGACAATGAAACCGTGTCTCTTCTATTAGTATGGGATCTGCTGCCAGACAGACAATGAAACCGTGTCTCTTCTACTAGTATGGGATCTGCTGCCAGACAGACAATGAAACCGTGTCTCTTCCATTAGTATGGGATCTGCTGCCAGACAGACAATGAAACCGTGTCTCTTTTTTTAATTCCGCAGCAAAGCCCCTTATTTCCTGATGAACTCTCTCTCTCTCTTTTCTGTATTTACTCAAGTTCAGACATTATTTTAACAGGTTTTATTTACTGAGCAAAGCAAGAGAATTATTGTCAGTCAATTTACGGTTTTATTGATTTGTTGCTTTTAACAAAACACAGAGTCTCTTCTGTGTCATGATTACCATCTACATGTATGCAATGCCAACAAGACACTGTCATTTTCACTCTTCAACTGACACATCCTCATAAAACAATGCTTACTTTGAAGTATATATACAAGGCAGAATATGATTCGTTGAAAAAAAACTATCAACAAACAAGTTGCTCTCTGATTGGTCGACTGTTAGGGTTAGGTAGCCAATCAAGC